ACACACACACACACACACACACACACACACACACACACACACACACACACACACACACACACGGAGAGATCGCATAATCACACCAGCTAATGTACCAACTTTAAACACAAACAAGCTTTTTCTACTTTTATTGTGTAAATGGGGGAAAAAAACAACATTTCGCGATAGAAGCGTAGCAGTTTGACAATAAGTGTGTGTGTGTGTGGTCAAAAGAGAGGCCACTTCTCGTTAGCAAGACTGAAGCAGGAGTCTGCTATATCTGCTGGTAGCATAATGCGAGTGATTCATATGCTCCTTACCAGAGTCACACGCATACATACACCTACCATGTGTCCCCCATTAATTTGTTCCAGATAGTTGCATTAAATGGTGGTCCAAAGGCATTGGTTGAGGTTAAAGGGAGGAAAGAATTTGACAGGATGATCCTATTCTCTCCTTTTTTTTCTCCTGCAAGGGCCTGGATAGATGAAGTTTGCGTTGACTACGCATTTAAAGCCTTCCATTTAAATGACTCCCCACACAAAAACCCGGTTAAACCCCCTTTGATGGGGATTAAGGTCTTTGTTCGCATAAGTGGCCTCGCCTGGAGGCGATTATACAACCAACCCGCATGTTAGACCGCATCACCTCCAAATGCCATGACTGAGGATGATCAACACGCTAGCAGCCGCAGGACAGAGACTGGAAATAGACCCAAGTAGTGGTCATTTGTGCAACCAATCAAACCTCCCAAAATAGACAAATTAAAACGATAAACAAGCTAAAAGCCTCTGATGGGATTCGAGCATTGAAAGGAGGAATTTGGATGATCGTTTCAAACATGTTTAAGTGATAAGAGGGGAAGGGGAGGGAGGAGAGCACTCATCAACCGGTGAGGTGGCTCAGTGACCAATTAAAGGTCAAGACAATGAAGAGGATGTGACACCAACCTTCTGGAAGCACTTCTCCATGTGTCGAAGGGCATGACGCATGTTGACTTCCGTGGAGCAGGTGACACAGACAACCGGTTCAGCTTGATCGATGTCTGCCAAGTCGGCGGAAGTTGAAGCAGCCTACAGGGGATAACATTGGCTGTGCTAAATCACAAGACGGCCACAACACCATCGTCACGTGACAGTCTAACCAATCCGTGACCTAGAGCGGAATCAAAAAGGGTTACGGGGCTAAATACTACCATGAACAAGAGAAGTTAACCTGTGCATGTAATATGCTACTCGAAGAAAGCGGCAAATCGGAGGAAATGTTTGCTCAGAATTGTACAAAGATCAAGTCAAAAGGACGCGAGAGACCACGTGGATACCTGTTTAACGAATGTCATGTGGCTCATTCATCGCAAATCTCATCATTTTGGTGAAACATAGCGAAAGAAGAAAGAACCAAATGGCGTAAGGAAGCCAGAAACATCAAAAATGAAAGAAGGGAAAAAACCTGCTTATCGACCACATAAATTCACCCTAAGAAAGCAACAATTACCAATTGAGTAAAGCGAGATACTCATAGAAACAATAAATTATAGAAGAAAAACTTTACCTTTCTACTGAAGACCTAAACGCTGGAAAGCTTTGCAGGGCATCGATACAGTACTTAAATTTGTGTACAAATGTGGCCAATTTCATGGGTAAGGCAGATACTACTAATAATGTTGTTAGCATATGTTGTGGTGATGGTACTACAGTTGTATAATGAGCAGACAACAATGAAGGGAGACATTTTCTGTTGTGCAACAAGTCTTGTTTAGCTTCTATAGATTGTATGACAAATAGGTGGAGGACGTCGAAAGGATTGTAATGCACCTTGTGCATTCCGTGGACAACGCAGCCACACGAAAGAGCCCAAACCTGCCGAGGCTCACCGCACTGTTGTTCGAGTCAGTACTAAGTGGTCAGGTAAGCGGGTATAGCTCACCAAGTACGGGTAAATGAAAACGCAGGGACTGTGAGAAAGTACGCACCCGGCTGCATCGCAAATAATGCAACAGCCACACTGATTAGTATATGAAGAACCTCCAAGTGTGTGAACGGAAAAAAAAATACAAATATAGAGTAAAATTCTCATATTAAGCGGAGACAACCGAATTAAGAGATGCGGAAACGCTTACAATTTGAGCGGGTGTGAGACGCGTCCTATATTCCTGTGCCCGAGCAATGAGTTGATTGAGTTGTTGGTGCCGGTTCTCCAACTCAATCAGACGATTATGGATGGCCATCTGCTCGGCACGCACCTCCTTCAGCCGGGCTCGATCCGTGCGATCTGCGACAGAGTTGAGAACAACACCTGAGGCATCAGAGTACCAGGCAGCTCGGGTCCCAGGCAGAAACCGTTCCAGGCGTCTGCATAAGTAAAGGAGCAACTAATTCAGAAGCATAGAATTCATAGCACCAAACCCTAACCTCTCTCAATAATGCGGTTTCGTCAACAGTGGTGCAGCGTTTTCTACGGTTTCAGAGAAGACTCGACTAGACACCTAGAATGGTAAGCCTCTCTCCCAAATAACATAGCAAAGATTTAAGGTAAGAAACAACTGTTGTTAGGCAACTGCACACTTTACGAAAGGGTGCAAACGTGTCTTTCTATCATGACAAATTAAAGCCAATGTTGCATTTTGTCTGGTTCTAGATGTAGCAGTTAGGAGTATTTTTCTCTTGCAATTAGGCGAATGGTGATTTAAACAAATCATAAGAGCTGGAGGGAAAAAGAAAGTCTCGGGTACTGGTTGGGAGTGCTGCGTAAGAATAAAGAAAACCCCCCAAATTTGACATCATTCATTCATTCCACTTTCTTCTGCCTAATAACAAAGCACACAAACATTCTCCAAATGAAAGCATGATCATCACGCTTAAAACGCACCACACATGGCTTATGTATAGACGGGTGAGTGCCTGTTTATGTGTATGTGCTTTTCACCCCGCAATCAAACAAGTGCCAAGTGATATGACTTCCACAGAATAGAAGTACCACCGGATTCAGGTATGTAAAGCAAAAAAGCCCACTTTAAGACCATTATGACTGACAAGTAGCTACAACGAAACGACAATAGATACAAACAGCACTAGACGGTAACCTAACATTTCTTGAATAACAAATGCCACAACGATGACTTGGCGTCCTGTCTTACAGACATGAAAGTCGGAAAAGTAGCATAAATGAATGGAATGTGAAAGGGATACTTATTTTGGGAGTAAATACATTCACAGGAAACTGCATTTACTTGGTACAAAAAGGTAGTTTTTATCGTCCTACGTTTTGTTGCCTGGATGTCGTAAGTTTGGAACCTTCAGGCAATTGGCTGGCTGAAATGTCAAGGCACACACTCGCCAGGTCACATGTCCTGAGGGATATTCTACTAATGGATAGGACTAGAGCATGCTTGTTTTACAAATGTTTCTTTTATCACCTAGCCTCAATTCCGCGAAAACTCTCTACTCTTCGTAAAACTGGGGATTAACGTGTCTAGACCAACCTTTGGTCATGTTTACGATACAGCAACTCGTTTACGCCTAAATCAACTGGGAAGAGGAAGTTGTCGGAGGTGATAAACAAATGGGTTCCAGCCAAATTTACTACCAATAAATGACACAACAAGCTGCAAGGTCTCGCACTATTGCCACCTCCGTTTTAAGGAAAAAAAAACTTCCAGCTGGATAACTGACAACTATATGATGAAAAAGAACTCGTGCGCTTCGTTCCACCATTTGCTCCCCCCCCCCCCGTCCAAAAAAAAAAGAAAAAAAAAATACCGCACCACCACTCACTCCACATTAGTTCTAAAGCACACGCACACCATCTTTTCCAGGAGACTGTTATGTCGTATGTGTGTGTATGTATATATATAGAAGCAATATTCGACCATACTCTGTCAACTCAACTAAGAACCAAAAATTTTATTCTTCTTCGGCTTCAGAAGTAACCGAAACTAGTGGAGAAGGTCTTATCCCCCGTACTACCACAAAACTACACTTCAGGCAATAGAGGGCCAACGTGGGAATACACAACCAATATAAAGTTTACTATGCAGGAAAGAGAAGGCCTAAGCAAATCAATGTCACAATGAATGGTTATGGCGAAAATGCAGGCAATAAACATTAAGTTACGATCGTAGGCATAAAACGCCCCATTCCCGTATAATAACAAAGGCGAGGGAGCATTACAGGTATCAAAAATCGACAGCAGAGGAAGCAAAACCAGGAGCAGGCAAAAGGAATGTTGGGATTTGATAAATGCGGGCCTTCTGATGGCCTTTTGATCGCGGGCACAAAAAAACTACAACTTCAGAACATTTTATGAAAAAGCACTCATAAAAGTGGAATAGCGAATGAGCCTCATGAGGGGAGGCATTCTGAAGATGGCTCCCAACACTTTGACATTCACTCATTCAAAAGTTTTTTTGAAAAAATAAGAGCAAATAGCACTAAATCTAAAAAAGCAAGAGCTTTCAGTGTATGGGCTGCGGTGTAGAAGTAGGCGTTTTCGAATAACAAGGGACAGATATTTGGGGTCCCTAATAGGATTCAAAAATAGGCATCTTAGGATTCTGAAGGGTGGCAAATGTCAACTCTGCACCAAAAGTCACGTCACTAATTTCTTTGCCATGAGGTAATAGGAGATACGATTATACACTCCATAGTTTACATCAGCAGCTTCTCCCGTTGACCTATTGGGGCAGAAATGGTGACATGTCACCCTCACACACGATCGGTTACAGCTTTTCAACAGAATTACAGAGTTATTCTGTTTAAATACCAAACAGGGAATGCTACAGTCATTGAAGTTTCACAAGGACCAATCACAAATGATGGTAAGCGTCTGTGAAATGAAATGACAATGAAGAAGAAAGTGTATTTTTGTACTTCACAAGAGAAACACGGCTTCGAAACCTTCTGAAAGAAGTAGTAATTCACATATACTACTCTCGTAGGACTGTTACACCTTCTAGCCAGTGCCTAGTGTCTCCTGTCCAGCACACATCTGTGTTGGCCAGTTCATACAAGAGCACCCAACAGGGGTAGTGAATGTGTGCATGAGTGTATGAGTGCATGTGTGCACACACCACCGGTTAGTGAAACCTCTTCTGAACCAGCTCGGACAACCCTAATCCACGCATAGCCACTCGCAACTAGAGATAATTTCAGATAGATTTCGTACTCTGATACAGTGCTCAATCATGAAGTCGATTCAAAGCTTTCAGCACTTCTACGTTTCATAGGCGCTCCTACCTATGTCCAGACATTCAGCAACGATTCCGACGACATTTTTGGTAACATTGAAAATTCATACAATGCATGTTGTTAAACGAACATTCACTAGAGACCAATCTCCCGTGGGATGGTACGCACAATTCAATCACTCAAACGGACCTAATAAACATCGAAAAAGACGGGACAACCTTCTGTCTTTAATCAGCACAACGGTATTGATGGCTACACCAAGTTAAAAAGGCGCTTTGACAAGGAAAGCCAGAAGGCTCTGAATCTACATAAAAAAAACCTTGAAACAATTGGATTCCACCAATGTAGAGAAAAGGGGTGTGAAGATCGGCTTACTTGAGAGCCAGAGTTAGACCACACCTTTTTGAGCAATACTTGGTGGCAGAATGGGCAGCAGGGCGGGTGCAGCCAGGCCCCAGGCACTGATGCGGGGATTCAGGCTTGGAATCTGGAGCCGTCCTACCGCCACTCCCATCGCCACGACGCAGTAGCGCCTGGCGGCGGAGAGCCGAGATGTTGTTGTCATTCACTCCGCCACCGACGCCCCCTCCACCATGCTCCAAGAAATTGCCCAGAGACTGGTGCGAAGTAAGCTTATGACGTCTGCGCGAGTTTCTCCCTCCAATTCCACCTTTGCGGAGACGCCAATTAAGGCTAGAGCTTGAAGATTTGCGTGGAAGACCTCGAGATTGATGACGGCCCCGAGCGTCCTCACGAAAACGCTAAATAGATTTCACAATGGGGCAATCACTTTGCTATGCCTTTTACTTAGCACTAGAGGGATCCAGTCCCATAGTCAAGAAGACATATTAGCCCACCACTAACTATAACAACCCGGAACAGTGACTCATTCTTTAAAAAGGGTGACATTCCACATGGATAAGGGTGCAAATTTAAAGCTTCACCTTACTGCTTTGGCTAACACAAAATAACCCTCAGGAGCAAAGAAACAGTTTAATTAACGATAATAGCGCCGCATTGCTGCAAAGAAGAATGTACGTGGGTTTTTGCGTACAGTTAGGGAAAGGTTAATGCAACAGATTACATGTATAACTATTATTTTGGCAACACACACCGATTCATTTAAGTATTACCAAACTCAATGTTATAATATTTACTATTTTTAAACATAACACCATGCCCTCTTCGGACTCCAAAAGGGTTAAATTGTGAGAAAATTAAAACACCTTAGAGGATTCCATGTGCTCACTCCAATCCTCGTCATCGGAGTCGTCATAATCGTCTTCCTTCCCATTATCATCTTCATCGATGTCAACAAGACCATCTTCATCCTCTGCGTAGTCGGAGAGCGCCTCCGCATTGGAATGAAGAAAACCCTGATCAGATCTGCAAAATTCCTCACTCATCCTACCACGAGATTTCTACTTAAAAGTAAAAAAGTATAAATATTTCAAGTGTAATGCCAGAATGTATGCATTAGGAAGAGCCAACTAGAAGAGTAAAATCACGCAAAAAATATGGTGGACAAAATTCCTACAAAAAAGAATTATTGGGAGTGGGAATAAAACATGGTAGGGCAACTAAAACGAAAGGGACACCAAGGATTAGCTCGAAACCAAGTAGGTGATATCCAAGATCGCAGTGAAATTTCAAAGACACCATCAACCAAGAAGATAACAGCTAATTAGGACCAGAATATGCACAGTTTGCATTTTGCAAGCATTTATACGCCAAGGTAAAGGGCAACTAACAGTGGGTGGAATCATGGCAAAATAATCTTGGGAACAAGGTGGTGGAGTGGATTCAATGACAGACAGTGTGCAATCCTTATTATTGCCGCATTATTTGCAAAGCTAAATTTGGGAAAATTCCGATACTAGATCGAGATGTGATATTTACAGCACTTTTGAACAACCCACATAATTAAACCAATAAAAACCAATCTCCTCTCACACGGTAAAGGTCATTTTACTATTCACATGAGAAATGCACTAATTGTTTCCTGTAAGCAAATGCAAAATTTGAGCCTTACGTTTTTTCGACAAGCAAAAGCAATTATTAAAATAATCCTGTATAAGTAATTACCGTAGGTTCAGGAGGCCACATCACCATTTATTACATGGAGTTCGGCTTTAACTCTTCCCCTCCGTTCCTAGCGCTCTCGATTCAGGCAGAGCAAACAAGCATTGGGACCCTCTATTAGTAATGCAACGAAAGAAGCACGTCGATTAAGGTTATGCTTGTTCGGAGTACACATGTTCCTGGGGGAAAACTCTAGCAGATCCGTAGTTAGATTCGTGATACCTAAAACGCTTCTTGCCCAAAAGGTTCCTCCAAAAAAACATGTTTTACATATTATTTTTATGCAAAATAAGAGTTTTTATTTGACTTGTGGTGCTCTTTTATGGCATTAGCATATACCTAAATAATTAGAATTGCTCAATGAATCGTGTGGGTTGGGAGCGTAACAAATCGACACTGTTATATTAGCGGCTTTGCAGTCAAATAAAGTCCAATTTCGGATCTAGTCCTTTCTGTGATACCTGTGTTGCTTGAAACGCTTCTTTTAAGAAAAAAGGGGAGCACACGAATTGGTACCTCGTGACTGAGGAGTAGTCAACTTCCTTCAACCGGCGAAAGATTCCGTATCTGAATTGGACTGTCATTTAGTTAGTGACCTTGCTTGGAGGACAGCCACTGAAAGCACGTTCATCCAGATGTTGCATGTTCTCAGCGTACTCTTTGTCGTCCTCGTTAGCTACTTGAAAACGGAGGAGGTAGTTTCTGGCAATGGTTTTTTCTCCTTTATCAACTTGTCGCAGCATTTATCATTAACGGTATCGTGGGTGATGCCGGCGTCGATTCCGGCCGAAAGTAAATTATGGTATCCCACCGCTGCCGCCAGTGTAGAACGAGACTCTCAAATCTCCTCTCCCCTGCCCCTCATACCCCTCGTCATCGTTATTAGGTTAGGTGGATGGGGAGCGTGGATAAAAGGTTTGGGAGGTTTGGAAACGTAACCTTCTCCTGGTTGCATGACGATGACTGCTCCTCAGTCACGAGGTCCAATCCGTATGCTCGCCTCCTCTCTAAAAGGGACTTTTTATACAGTATAAGCATCACATTTTATACTCATATTTCAAAAATTAACTTGCGAATGCTTATAGTCGCTCTGTTGTCTTTGTATTTATAAAACAGGTGGATTTATTACAAATGAATTTTTTCACTTCTTCACATTTTGCAGACACCCGTTTTGATGTTAGCACGGATCCTTAATATTTGCCAAATTTTCTTAAATCCTAAATTTTTAACTTTGATTGCTTATCCCGATGTTTAGAATTTCTTCAATTCTACTGTATCCAACAGATTAACGTGTTCACATCGTCTTCTCTTTTAAAAAAAATCTTCTCAAATTGTTTAATTTATTTTGACGGTTACCCGTGTACTCCTGTCTCCGGACACGTCCCTGAATATTTTGTAAACCATAATTTTTCTGAAACTATAAGAAAATCTTTTTTGATATATGTGATCATGGAACCCACACTGTACTAATCACAAAAGAACCCTCGGAATAAACATACCACGAACCGTCCCAGATATATCCATGAAGGGTTCTCTCATATCTTCCTAGTGTGTAGGTGGTGTAGGTCAATGAAACTTCTCGAATACCAGACTGTAAAAAATGCACAGAGCTCTTAACATATGCCAACCCTACAGTCACCGATATGTAGTCTCAATTTCTTAGTAAATCATTGGATAAACATCCTCCGTAGTGTTTACTGATATTTGCTGTTTAACCATTGACATTGGTATATAAAAGAAGAGACATTGCATTTCTCTGCAAGGAGTAAGATTTAGGCCGCCTCTAGTCCAGGCATACGGTCACCGATAATAGACATTGGGATCAACTGACCTACCCGTCACAAGCTCATTAACCTCACAAATTGTAAAAAATGCCACAACCGTGAGCAAGAGGCGGCTTGCGAGGCTGCTAGCCATCAGTGAAAGCCTAGCGCTCATTCTGTCTCCCGTCACATACAAAGCACGTGCTTTGGCCGACTTAGGTCTGCCTTCACAGAGGCCGTGCGAGATGCGTCGCATCATAAAGGCTTCGTGCGTCTGTGTGTGTGTGTGTGTGTGTCTTTCATCCCCAAAATCACCACTTTTATTTCCCAACTTGTTTCTCTCTTTAATTCACCTTACTAATTTCTTGAAAGTTAACACAAAGGTGAGTAAATCCCTCTTGAGTTGGCCAAAACCTCTTGAGGAGAAATGCACCAATCAGGTGCAATCTCTGATGTAAATTTTCCTGCCTTTTATTTCTTTAAAATACCTAATTAACTAAAGGATGAAAGATTGCTCAAAGCATTTTATTCAAAAAGGAATCTACAACCTGCAATCTATTGCTCCCTTTGCACCTCCCAATCGCCTTCTCATTCACTCATTCTTTTTCTTTTCTACTTGTTTCTTTTTTTCTTCTGCATCATAAATGTATTGTATTAGTGATTTCTTTGAAGAATAGTGAATTGTTAAGTTGTTTTAACCAAAGTAACGCCAAAAATTAATTGGATTTGCATACCAACAGGCCTGGTGTCATCAATTTATGTGCCGCTTTACCAGTAAAAGAAGAAGCTAAAATGTCTCCGCACTTGAAGCAGTCACAGTCACTGCAATGAGTTGCCTGCGCACTTTACGTACTAATCTGGCATTCCCCAGTCATAACTTATGATTGAGGGGTGCCCTTATCTTCTACTTCATCATCTTCTCTTCCTCCCTAACCCCACCACCCCACTTAATATTCTTTTCCCCAATCAAACGTTATCAAGCAAGTGTCCGAGGCCAAAAAAAGAAGTACAATTTGGTACGAAAAATAAGGAGAAGTTTGCTGGGAGACACGAAAATCATTGGCTTATTTCTGCCCTCTAAATTCAAACTGCGTGCCCCCATTTCGAGAAGGCACATTTTAAGAAGCAGTGACATCTAATTGCCGGATGCTTGATGCTTAAGTAGGCTTTGTATGAAGGGCTAAATAGGATTTACTTTTAATCGACTCCTATGAATTGCTCCGATTTTGAACAACTCCACCAAATTAACCAAGAAATCTTAGCGATAATTCAAAGCCACCTTCAATTGGAATGCAAGGTGACGTGGAATTTGGCGGTCTTAGCGAAGAATGCACAAGAAGGGCGATTCCAGGGAGCAGGGAGGAGAGCGAGCCGGACAGAGGGAGGAGAGAGGTAGAGTAAGGGAAATGGGGGAGAGAGGTGGTGTCAATGCAGGCCCCTTTGGGGGATAACAAACTGAGGGCACCATTCCACCTGCCCTGTGCCAATTCCCCGAGTTTTTTGGCTCCCCACACCCCACTCCATCCCATTCCCCCACCATCGCAGCAGTGATTTACTAACATAGAAAACGCGTTAACATTTAGACTGTGTATGCGTGGGGCACGGGGTAGGCAGGCAGGGAATGCACTCACGCCTGCCTTTGTTAGTCCGAGTTATCATAACCGCAAAGGCCCTTCATCCCTCCACCCGTGCACACCCGCATACACATGCCTGCCTGCCTGATTACTTGCTCACCTTCCTGCTTTCCCACCCGCCCGCCCGGGCAAACGCTGGATGTTTGCCCACCCACCTGATGCCATTCAGGCGATATCTCCCTCGAAGTTACTCCGTCCTTATCGCGAAAGCAAATACCAAACCTAATCTCAGGAAACTTCTCCATGTTACTTATTGCTATCCTAGTGATACAACAGGTTATCCCGTGCGTTAAAGTGCATCGTAACTAACCCAAACAACTAAGCAAACGAAGTCATTCATTCCTTCATTTATCCTGGCTATCCTCCTACCCATGTCACAGACAGATCCGATGAAATCTTTCACCCGATTTATTTTGTTAATCAAAATATAGAAATTCTGACTGGTATTCACCCTGGATTCTAGACATTGGCGGAATTTACTCGGATGACACAAGTACACTACTCACTGCCTCTCCATCCACGGTAGTGCAAATATCCAGTCAATTGGCTAACCAATCATCACCCAACGATTTTAACCAGACTATTAGCCTGAGAATTGGCTGACCTGATTCGTGCATTTAAACATTTTTTGCAATTATTTCTATCCCTATCTGCTGTAAATACTTTAGGAGGTTCGTAAAAATTACTTTTATGTATGGTTGAAGTAGTACTCTTTCATTGGTGGAGGATAATTAAATCTGTTTAAATGAAAGCAAATCACGATGAAAAAGCTAAATGATAATGCAGATAATTGAAAAAAATACAGCAGAGTCTTTGCGGAAAATTTAGTATGTGTGGTAAACCCCACTATGAGAGGTAGTCTGCTGGAGATATCCCGAACGGACAATTAACATTTACCAGGCGGGGATATCAGGGCAAATGTCTGCACGCAGGCATTTCACTAGTGGATAGTTATTCAACCCATTATCTGACTTCAACACCGGCCCACCCATTATGACAGAAATAACCTTTTCAAATGCTGCATTCATATGTGTGAGTGTATATTTGCTTGCTTCGTTATCAACACTCAGGGCATGCCCAGACGCATCTAATAAATGCTTTGATAAATTCATAGGGTAGATTACTTCCAAAGTAGATAAATTAAATAAAAACTTTCTTTTTATATAAACTGCCATCCTCCAATGCCAGTTGCGGGTGATTTTTTTGCACTATTCCAAATTGGAGAGAATGAGTATCCTCTCTCCCGTCCCGTCTTCACCCAGTATCACCGACTTAATAATGTTGAATTCTCAACACTAACTTAAGGGTAACGAGTAAAAGATCAGTGGCGAAATTACCATAGTTTTTTTGCAAGCATTGGAACCGGAACGTCTTCGGAGTTATGATGACCACCACGCCACAGTAGGCAAACATAGCGTAGCCGAGGAAATAAAGTCATTATTTGCCCATTCGTCCGTTCATTCAATTCGCCCATTTCGCCCGCCTGGAGGCCGCCTACCCTTTCATGTGATGTCGGCTAACAGCTCGCCTTTTACATCGACGTGCGCATATCCGTTTTGGGCTGATCGCAGCAGACCGTAAACAGGCGCCCTCAGCCGTCAATCTGCTCCAGTCAGCCTCTTTCTCCCTCTGCGTGTGTTGTAGTTGCAATAGAGGAACCAAACTTTACGTGTGTCATCGAGGGACGAGTCGACAGTGTCTCCATCCCCTTTTCCCAGTTGCTGCAAATGATACGTTGCCTAATGTTCTCCTGCACTTGTAAAAACACCACTTCTTCAATCACATGACTTTAATGCCTACTTCACTTTGGTATTTTCAGCAGAGGAGTAGTTTTGAGCCACACAGTCCTACACTGAGGCAATGAATTCCAACACAGATTGTGAATCACTATTGCCAGCCAGTCAGCCACTCAGACAACCAGGTTATTGAAGCAAAACCATATGAGAAAAATCATTAGATAACTTTTCTTCTAAGGCATAATTGCCCTAAAAAGGATAAATTATTTTATAGCAAACCAGGTTTTTAATGAAGGGCTGCATTTTGACGAGCGGAAGATGGGAGGGATGAGAGCGAATTTGTATTCGTCACCCCTACGCCAGTGCAGTGAAACAATCAAATTTTGGCAGTCAATTTAATGGGTGCCAACTGCATTTCTTTGCCTATTCAGTAGAGGTAACCAACTTCTGGAAATGCGGTGATTTTGGCGTCAGCTCGTACAGGGTAAACGAGATTACTCCTTTCCTGCACTATTATTTGCCGGATAGCATTCACAATAAAATTCCACACCGTAAAACCAATTAGGTGGTAATTAGGTAAATTTATTTTACACGCATAATTGTTATGTCATTGAAGAGTTGCATTTTTGAGTGGTTCTATTAAATAATGTTTAAGCTCAGCTAATGCCGCGATCTCGTAGTCTACAAATCAGGCTCTATTCGGGTGTGTTAATGACTTGGCCTTTGTGGTGAGGTGACTTAAACTGTCTAATGTAGATACTTACGGAAAAGGGGCGAGGGATAGGTGTTAACAGGCGGATATCTCTAAGCCTACATGATAAAGCATGAGAGGTGTGCGCATAACTTTGTCTTTTGTTGCTTCCTAACTGTATCCTCAACCATTTCCGCCTACTTTGATATCTCGATTGAGTTTACGAATCATGTTTGATGAAGAGAGGGTAATTGGTTTCCACCGAGCAATGTGTTGTTCACACTACCCAGAAAAAAGGTCATGCTGTTGAATTCCGAGGCACGTCACACTGAGCGTAGATGGAATGTGTCAAGAAGAAAAATTTTGTAAGTCCTTACTACTGTCAGAGACTAAACAATTGGTTTTACTTACATCCTAAAGTGGCTTAAAACTTCCGACTTTGCCCTCAACGAAGGGGATAGGTGAGAATACGCAACTGTCAATCAATTTCTTCTAGGGAGGGTGAAGGTGAGGGGGTGGTGTGATATGCTAGAGACTTGACATTTGGTAGGCAACACCCAGTATAAGACATTTTCTTATGAATATGAGTAATGAGTAGGAAAATATGAATTTTTTCCTAATGACAGAAAGGGAGACCTTGACGGCTAGGGGAGTAGTTGTTGGAGGAGTTGGAAAGGTAAAAGACCGCACACGCACACACACGCACGAGCAAAGAACAGTTTTGGCCACTAGGGGAGAGATTTTGTAAGATTGTATCTTTCAATGCCCCCATGATACTAGGTTGTGTATTTTATTAATCCCTGATTTGCGTGTTACAGTACAGGAAAAGGAGAAAAACAGGCGTAACGAAGTGAAGCGACAAGAGGTGAATGAAGGATTAAGTGAATGACTGGGGAGAGTCGAGGCGATGCGACGTAGAGGACTTAAAATTGATGAAGAGGGGTATCCTGTTTGCATCAACTAGTGCTCGCGCTGCTAGTAATGATGGTAGTGGCGTCTATCCGATTGTTAATAGTCATAAATTGCCTTCGGCTCTGACAATGAGCATTGACAAAACCTAGCATCACCTCCGAGGGCCGCAAAGTACCTTTTCCTGCCAGTTATGAGGCCTCGATGGCGTAAACCACGCCAAATCATACGATGTAAATAAAACCAGTAGGGAATAAATGAATGACGGAACCCATCATTGAGTGAATAATTGAACAAATCAACCGATGAATGGATTAACCAATCACTGATTTAATAACTAAATGAATTAAAAATAAATGGATCAATAAATGAACAGATAAATCAAGAACGAATGGGTTAATAAGTTGGATTTTGAATAAATAAATTAAAGTGCGGGTTAAATCAATTAGCCAATAAAATTAATCATCCAGTTAATGGACCAATGGGGGAACGAGGGAACGGATTAATAAAATCAATGCCTAAATGTGCCTATAAATCAATTATTCAATGAGTAGACTTGGAATTCCACTTGTCTAATGCATTCTTTCGTCTAATTGCTCGAGAAAGGTATTCACGTACCTTTAATGCGTCACATAGTTGACGTGATCATGCATGTGAACGCATGCCTGTGCACGCTTCTGTCTGTGTGTGTGTGTGTGTGTCAGGTAGGAGTGCCACTTGAAGTCTCTCACCACTATAATACCCTACTTTACATTTTGGTGATCCGGAAGCTACGAAGACAAGAAAAGAAAAGAAGAGTAACTGATAAAATGACCTCTTATAGGATCATACACCTCAAGAACACGTGTGGAGGTGTATGGGATGACAATCGGTTGACATGCTATTTGATGGTCAAAGAAGCATTTAAGCACCATCAATCATTAAGTATACCTGCCTACTTTATTGTGAATAATGCTTAACACCTCCACTATTGTGGCATCACAAGAATGTAACAAGTAGTTGCTACTCGCTGTGTTGCAAATGGACTGCTTTAGTTTGGAACAGCGAAGACAAAAGGTGGATGGTGATCATGCCTTCTCTAGATCTGAGGATACTCATGTATGCTGATTGCGCACACCTCGCCTTCCGAACATCAGGGGTATCGGATGTGGTGAGGACGTCAATCTCTCCTGTAGGATAAAATATCCACTGGACCTGACGCATTTGATTTAGGCTTGTCAGCTTGACGAATTGAGAGTTAGTTCCGGTTCCAGACCTGACTTATCGTCTAATTCGTGGTATGACATTTGGAAAAGGTGTCTGGCAGCATATAGGAAATTACGTGTGACCCTACCGACTCAATAATCCAGCAAGATTAACCTGATGGGGCCAACCTTCAATCATTGTCAAGGTGACTGATAATGAAGTAGTTAGCTTATGCTTGCATTCAACCGAGGAAGTGGAAGCCCTGACGACTATATTAACAGACAGCAACAAGCTTAAATGACTGTCTATTTGTTTGTCACTTCTCTCAAGTAGGATTGCAAAAAAACTAGACCTTGTGGGAATCAGACTGTTGACTAACAGGCTCTTGATGTGAAGTAACTTATGTTCAATAGGAAAACAAGCAGATTTGGTTGGTTATTTCCAAACCGCACCATCAGACACCACCAAATTCACACCCTTAAGTCACCCACAACTTCATCCCCGGCAGACAAAGTGACTCCCTTGCTTAAGTGTGTGTGGGTATGTAATTGCGTAGGGTGAAATGCAGGCAGAATCGTTCAATTGCTGAAGGCAAAGCAGCGATTGGGGTATCTACCTTCTGCTCAAGCGAATACAGAAAAAAGTGTTTTAGGAACATCCGGTAAGGGAAAAGCCCATCACCTCAAAGTCTCAATTCCGCAAATCACATGAGGCGCCCCTCGAGAATGTCACTCACCACACTTTAAGGATGGATATAAGGGGAACATTTTATCCTCATCTACCATGTTCTCTTTATGCTTTCCAGGCAATAGACAATTGGGGAAATAAAAGTGAGGTGAAAGCAAAGTTGTCTCCTTCCGGTGACAACTGTCACAGATAGGTGGGATTCGAAATGAGTGTGTCATGTTAGCAAATTTCTCCATGTGTTAGCAATAGTTATTTCAGTCATTTTAAAAAGCTTTCAAAGAATATTTTCTTTTTTTTTACTGAAAACTTATAAATTTTAGTAACTCTTTGTGTATTTAGCGTAAATTAAAAGCGGACTTGCGCTATAGCGTCTGAAAAGAAAACATACCGAGTCAATTAATTGCGCATTAAGTTGTATTGCACGTTCTACTCTGTATTGTTACGACTTTTTACCCTCGTTAGCGAGGTTTTTGATTTGGACGAAGCGTTAAATGTCATTACCAACACAACGTGAAAAAAATGTCAATTCAATGCACCTCCTCTGTTCACAAATAAATGCGACATACGTTGAACTCTTTTGATATGACAGTAGGTCAGAGCGAAGACGGGCAATGCTGGATTGGGAAAACGCACGGCCAGACGGTAAGGTAGCTGGCTTTTTCTTGTGACCGTCCGTTCCCTCCTTGTCAGTCTCTGCCTCGTTGACAGGCGCGACTGTTAATGTGTTTGTGCCTGTGTGCACATGTGTAGTTTGCAATTTCTCTGCGTGTATTTTTGTAGCCCTGCCTGCTTGCCTGCCTGGTTGTAGGGCCACTTGGCCACCGTGTGTCTATCTGCATGAGCTGTTCACATGAAGGGAAGTATTGCCCGTTTGACATGCATAAAAACATCATGTACCATAACACTTGGCCGGCGTACAGCAAGAATATCTCTGAATATAGATAGGTATTTATTTCTCACAATTTTAAAGGTATTCCATATTTAAGTTGCGACACCTTTCACACACCTCGAGATGCACTCCAGTTAGACTCAAAAAGTTGGCATTATATCTTTCCAAGAACCTATCAGGACTGATTTTAGGGAATTTCACTCTCAGGTTGTTCGTACAAATTAAGGTTTTTGCCTCATAAATTTTAAACTCTGGGATTTGAGGTATGCTTTCAATGTTCACTTTATGTTCTACATGGTTTTTCATCTAAAATACTTTTTAGTATAATTTTGGTACTTCACAATGAAGTTTCCAAGATCCACTAGTCATAATAATTTTCCTTTTTGATCGATACTGTTAGTAACTAGAAATTACCATAAATTTTCTTTGTTCATGATCAAAAAATATAAATTGCAAATGTATTGGCAGGGTGAGATATTTCAAAAATTACGAAGCTAGAATCAGTTAATTTTTTTTCTTAATAACTCTCATTACTATGGTAACGTCAGCATCAAAGACGGGTATATCTGACCTTTTCGAAAAGTGCATTAAAACATCTTTTTTTTGAAATACTTATCGCGGATCAAGTTCCCTTTATTTTTATCTTCCATTGCTTTGTCAAAACAGTAGCATGCACCTTAGCTCAGAGGCGAGGAGAATGAACCTTATTTAAAAAAATGCAAGTAACAAATACGCGTTTAGAAAACCACCTATCTTATACTGTCACCAATCTTCTTTTTGAAATCACCAATGGCTGCTGAATTGGAAGATCAATCACTTCCCTTCTACGGGGGCCACGTTCGCACCAAAATGCACGCGCATTCGCGAAGTCAGGCTCTGATTGGTCCACTTACCGCACACACTCTTTAAGGTACATACAAGAAGATGCGTGCTGGCCATCCGATTTCCTTATGCAGGCGAGCGTGCATCTCTTTCGGTTTTGAAGACTGCCACCTCTTATCGAATCTCGCAAGCCAACATCATCGCCTTCTTTTTCGGTTTATAACGCTTTTTAAGACATCCGAGTATGCAGGAGCCTCTGAATTTTTCATGTACCACCGCATATTCGACAACTCAGGAACTTGCAGCACGCCTTATAAGTAGCCTGCAAACTCATAATTGCGGAGCTACCACCAGTCCGGCTGTGACTTTTGACGTCAGGGCATCTTCGCTTCCTCGAGACGGCTCTAGCGGTGGTGGGAGTGGCGGTGGCGGACAAATTGCTTCCCTGTTGCCCAGTCCCTGGTCAGCTTTTCCGTCCAATGCATTTCTTGCAGCAGCAGCAGCTGCTGCCATTTCAACGAAGACACCAACGATGATGGTTAACACATCAAAGTGTCTTCAGGAGGCGATTTCAATGAGTACACCCTCAGCAGCTGATATCCACCCAATTCCCGAGAAAGTTATATCAGAACACACATTTCTATTTAATGCAGTTAATATGGCAACAGATTTGTTCAGTTGTGCGTCTCAACCGTTGATCAACTCCAGATCTCTTGAGCCAGCTGACATTCCTCTCGGTCAAGAGGTTGAAACAGATTCGTGGTGAGTAGGAAATTACTTTTTAGTACATAGAATACGATCACGACGTAGCGAAACTGTTTCTGATATTAAAAAAATCTGAATAATTGCTCGGATTTAAGTCAAATTTAGCGCATCCAATTGATCTACAGTCTCTTAAAAGGCTGTCCAAAGGGCCTGACTGACAAACGAGTTTTTTTGAAGAGTAAGCCTGAGAAGGCATAATTGCTCCAATGTGTATCACCAGCTAAGCGACTCCCGATTTGGATATCATCTTTCGGGTCACTTTTACAAATCTTCTCAACAGAAGGATCACTTACCTTCCCTATCCAAATCCTTCAACCGCTTTTACCCCAATAATTCATCCGATTTATCGGCCAAGGTAGGTGTAGTAAAACAATTCATGCCTAATGGCAGCAATAGAGTCAGGAGGGCTTGACTACTTGTGCTTATTTTTCTATCTGTCAACCGTAGAGATCCTACACAAATGCCTACGTTGTGTAGCTACAACTTGGATTATTGCTAAAGGTCATTTAAATGTCACACACCTTTCCCTCTCAAAATATTTCAGAATACCACCAGGGCTTATCCTCGTTTTTGTTCTTTCTTTTGCTGCCCCCATATTTTTGCCTTCATGAGTCAGTCAGAGGGGATGGCTTTGCGGTGATGCACATCATCTCCCTCCGTTGGGTGTTTTCTCGGTTTGTGTGTGTGTGTGTGTGTGTGTGTATGTATGTTCCTGTCAGTTTCGAGTCCACTTCCAAATTCAGTTAGCAGATGATTAACTGTCACATGACTTCCACGTGGAAGGTAATAAAAATTACTGGGGAAAAGTTTTTTAACTGTCACATCACTTCCACGCGGAAGGTAATAAAAACTACTGGGGAAAAGTTTTAACCTGAATGTCGAAATAATGCTCAGAAGGAACAAAAAATAAGGATACGTCAACAGCTGACAGCTCGACTGACAAAAGACCTTGAGAAGTGTGAAAGCGGGTAGCTAAGAGGGGGCGACTTTCCCCTCCACTCTCCAAATTTTTAGACCATTAACTGGGATGGCTAATCCAGGCGCCCTCAAAACACACATCCAGACGCTACTGAAGTGCTATCGGAGTGTTTTGGATTGCTTGACACAACTTATTCACAATTCGAAATCCCCTGTTTTGAAGTTTAGAGGGAAAGAATAATTTGGGTTATCCACGATTTATGTGTCACGATTACAGGTAAAAGTCTGAACAATAGATGACGTTATGTAGAAAAAGCGTCGTCTACGAGGTCTTGGTGTAACTCCACAATCATCATCCGCCAAGGGCACACCTGCCTATTGTGAATCACTTGGCATCGTCACTAACAGCACCAACACCGCCCCGCCAATGGCCTCTGTTTCTTCTGCCGATGTCCACTCTTTTTTGTCTGGGCACTGTGTTAATGCAGAATCAGTAACATTGCTAGTGGTGGCAGGAGGAGGAGAAGGAGGAGGTGACAACACACTCGCGTGTCTTACGGGGTGAGGAAAAAGAGTGGATAAATCATCACTGTCCACATGTATATGAATAGCTTGTTGGCCAATGGCACACCGAGTTTTGAAAAACTATGTGACATGTACAAAATTCCCTCACACAAACCTAATGCAGCATTGCAGACACTTGATGAGTCCTCTCGACACATACTACTTATAAGCAAATATGAGCATTAAAAAATTAGTAAATAAATATTATCGAATTCTCTGCTGATCATCCAAAGAAGGCGGTAATGTCTGGTTGGCTGAGGAACGGGGTGTCGAGGTCTCAACTCCTCTTGAGAGATTGACAGGGCTACGTATTCAATCGAATCGGGGGGTACTCTTTAATTGTACGAATTGAGGTGTTCCCCCCTCCTCCTGCTCAACGTACTTAATCAACTGTAATTTTTTTTTCCTTTTGGTTCTACCCGGGCGTTAAGTGGAATGCGTGGTTATTACCACACATTTATAGGCGTGCTTGAAATCATTTGACAGTTCCCACGCAATCATTTACGATTGATGATGCTAATGATAGTCGCATGCTTCATGAATAGGTGCAAGCTTTCGAGAGTGTGGCTTTACGAGTTTATTGGCAGGTATTTAATTAGCTTTCGTGCCATTAAGTTGGAGCGTTAAACTCCATGCTGACTCCACAATAGCCATAACTCCGACTCGTATTTGCTTCTCTTCGGTTTTAGTTCACGCTGACACCGCCTCAGTTGGTCAAGTCAAATTCTTCGTCTTGAAGGTTAATCGCTTTTCAAAGGCACCCTTAGAGTAGGGTCAGGCTATTTATTCTCCTTGACTGCCTGAATTATTTCTAAATTTTTGATTTATGGAAAAGGGAAAGTGACTGTCTTACCATCTCGCTCAGTAATAAGTTGGAAGCCGATCCGTTTATGGGTCACTTCTTTCTAAGCCCATTGAATTTGAGTAGACATTGTGTATTAGTGACCCTCATAAGTTGTACTCCTTTTGTCCGTGAACGGCTATAAATTAAGCATTCTTAGAGGAGTAACTTTGCTTCGTGTTTCAGTGCCCCGTCCCAGCTGAACAGACGGAATTCAAGATTGGGTGAACGCGGACGTCGTTCACGTGTGGTGATCCATCAAATCGGTGATGCAGAGGATCACTTCTCAAAGGCTCTTCGTAACCTTCATGTCAAGTCAGCGGTAGGTTCCTTGTGCTGGATTTTCTCCCTCTCTCATTCATCCAACTAATATACGAAATTACCTTCTGCATTCTTTGAGGATTTAATACGGCTATTTGTGAATTGCTTGGATTATAAGTTTGAGCAGGATTTTACCACACACAAAGATGTACATCATTTTTGCTTTGGGAAAATCTTCACCTAATCCATTCCACATAATGGCGAAGTAGATGAGTCACATTTTTAGAGTGGATTGTGAATTTGTTGATAGTGGGATGATGAGTAAGCTATTTAGGGCTTTTCTCATCTCCTTCCTCCCCTTTCCCTCTCCCGAGGATATGAAATAAGCACAGGCAATGGGTCTTTGCATCTGCCATTTTGGGGAAGAATTTCCCACCGGACGTTTGAACTCTCCTCCGACCATTGGTATGTCTCCCTCACATACGCACATTCCATTCACCCGCCTAGGGAAGCATTCAAGGGGTGGGCGGTAGGAGGGAGGCGTAGTTCTCTTCTCCTTAACTCCGACAAATGCATTCGCATAGTTGTTGCACAAACACGCATCCACATACATCCATACGTACATACATACCTACTTACACACGCCATACATGAATGTGTACACACACACACACACACACAGGGATGGGTGCAAAGAAGGCACCCTCTTTTGGGTGGCGGAGGCTGGACGAAAGAAAGGAATAAGAGGGAGAGAGGGTGGGAGGACGGAAGGAAGATAGGGAGGAAGAAATTAAGGCGAGAGGAGGAAAGTAAATTACTGAGAGATGGAATTGATTTCTTGGTATTTATGCCATGTAATTGAGGAAGGCGAAGGCAGGCTTGAAGCATTCGTCTCTTTCTATGGCAACAGAAGTTAAATTTGAGTGGTGGGAGGGGATGGGAGGAAAGCCTTTCTCCTTGTTGAACTGATTGTTTCCATCTGAAAATAATGCTCTTTTCAATAGAGGATACAGATAAAAACCCTCTTTTTAAAAGGCAAGCGGTTTCTTGAACAGCTGGGAGAAAGAGTTGGTCCTCCTTTTTTTTCTTTACTAGCAGTGTTTGTAGCTGTGAACAAAGTAGCCAAAGTTGGCATCTCCCTCCCTAAAAATGACACTGGATTTAAAATTAACAACTACGTTTCCGTACCCCAATGGGTCGGTGTAATAGGGCGAGGGGAGAGAAAGAGGGGAAATTTTTGCAAATTTTTGCGTCGGCCACTATTTGGAATTTTCGCATACCGCAGTGAGTCACATTCCTTTGTTATCCCGTTTGAATGTGAAAAAATGTGTCCGATCGTATCCACGCTTTGTTTTGCCAAATTTAGGGCGAGTACGAGATACCCGAGGGCACTAAAAAACAAAAACGGGTATGGACACTGACGAGCACTTTTGACGACGGTAGAGGACCTATCGAGGCTTCGGTTGTGAGCCCCACCTTCGAGTCACAAAATATTGCCGATTTAGCGGTGGAGAAACACTTTGAGAAGTCGCTAGCCACCTTCCATGCTAAACAGGCAGCTGCAGCAGCAGCGGCAGCAGCATCGGCCATAGCTTCTACCGATGAGGAGACATCCAAGACGTTGCTGGATTTGACTCAAACAACTTTCAGCCCCTCCTCCCCCTCCACAAATTCAAGTTCCGATGGCTCTGCCCTGCTTTCACCGCGAGAAGAAAGCGGTGGATCCTCATTTAATCCGAAAAAGAAATGGCTTGCTCAGTATGGAGATGATGAGGGTGCACAAATACGAGTTGGTAGAAAGGGCGGCACTTGGAGCTTGGATGACAATTCCTGGAACTCCAAGAATACCACTCCTTCGACTAATGTCGAGAAACGTTCGAGGAGCTGTCCCCTTCTTCGTAGTGAATGTACACATTCTGTAAAAACCCTTTCGCATTGCAAGCACAAGTGCGAGACGAATTCCAATGTAAGTGGAGTCTTTTTGGGCAATACCTACAGCCTTCCATTGAATCCTCGGTTTATGACACATGTTTCTTCTAGCAGGATACCACTAAACCCATGGAACTTTCGCAGACAGTAGCAGCACAATCGTCAATTTCCTCTCTCCAATTACCCCAGAGAGGATTTTTGACTTTGGCACGAACAAGCAGTCTAGAGGTGCCCTCGCTTGGCAACAGTATTGACTTTTTCGATGATGAAGACGAAGCTGTTGTGGCTTCCAAATCAATATCGGCTCGTGAGAGTCCCATCTCTTCACCTATTGCTGCCTCCTCGGGTTTCTTCACCGATTCCACCTACTCACTTGACTCGTCAACACTCCCGGTGATATCTGAGGCGGGATATTTCAGCTCTAACGCATCGGTTAGCTCCAGCTTCAAAGTGAGACATCTCGCCGTCCTGCGAGAGAGTGCTACAGCAGCACGACCGAAAGAGCGAAGTATGTGCGGTTGTGAATCGGAAGACATAGTTGAGAGGAACGGCACAAGCCCTAATGGGCGCTGTTGGCAACTCCGAAAACGCACCGCTTCGGATACAAGTGATATCTCCTGTCTTAAACGCTCTCGGTCGGTTGTCGACACGGGTTGTGGAGAGCATGCATAAGACAATGACACTCCACACCCCCGCCTCAAATACTGATCTTTCCGTTTCCCCTCGCCTCGTCCACTCCATTTACCCTCCAATGTATGCGTTAAACTCTTCCCTTGTTTCCACTCCCCACAAGTAAACGTTATTGTGTTTCTTTTATAAACCATGTGATCTAATTCGGATATTTGGGGTCACAGAAAGCAGTAATTACTTGCTTAAGTTATTCAGTCCATTGGTAAAAAAAGGAGATCATTTCTCTATTTGCATCAAGCCAAGGGTGGAATTGGTCTTCCATCCTCTAACAAGTGTTTAACGTTCCATTGTCTTATAAGCGAAGGTTTAGTTAGACCACCTCCGCTTAAATTGTAAGAAAGGGATTTTTGCCTTTTTTCGATAGTGTATTTAACGTAAGCTACATAAGGACACATTTCAAAAACTCAAAAGAAAAGGTGGCAAACATAAACATTCGAACAACTTACTGGTTACAGTTGGTAATTTAAACAATCCTTATAGACTATTAAATAAATCGGCCGATCTCCTTTTTAGTAGTTCACTTTTGAATTCGAAAAGGGAAATTTTATTATTGTGTACAAACCATCAGTTAAAGAATGTGAGCACTGGACACGGATGGCTGCCCGATTACGTATCAATAAATGCCAGTGAGATCTGTCAGCATTATCGCTATGGGCGGACAGAATTATACGTCATTAATAAGTAGCTGCTGCATCTATTTGATTTGAACAATAAGCCAAAGAAAAAAGTCTCGTAAAAAAAATTTAATTCGATACTTGACTCCTCCTGTAGCGAGGGCGTTACTTTTTAAGAAGGCTATCCTAAAGTTGCTGCCAAGTTATAATTTTTTAAAGCTAGTTAAGTTTGCGTCACAGAAATATGTGGATTTGCGATTAGAAATAAGTCGGCGAATGCATCTATAATTGATGGATCTACTAGTAGCAATCCAAGAGTATTCGCAGCTGTTTGGTGAGCACAATCAGAATCGCTGATAAAGTGCTAACCTGGAATTTATAAGGCTTTTTTTATAGTCAAATTAAGTGTTATTTGCAATAGATGCAGCGCGTGAATGCACATGGTTAGGATGCATGGGTTATGTCTCGTCTTATATGATGGCGTTTTGCAGATAAAAAAACAATTAAATTCTAATTTAGCAATGCATACCGTAATATGTCGTATACTAGTTGAATTTTCAGCTTAGGTAAGGGGCCACTTATGGCTCCATCACTGTACCTACGATGGACGGCCTAACCTCAGGGCCATGCCAGCAGACCCAAGCCCTTACGTACGTCGGCATCACCTATTCCGCTCAAGTAATATCTCTTTTTGTCTTAAGGGAAGTCCCAGGGCAGTGTGTGTACAAATTAAATTTTAGCAGCTTATTGGAATATGCCAAGCAATGCCAAATTTATGTCTACTTATACTTTATTAACAACCATCAAATTAGAAAAGGCGTAATCATGTTCAAACAGTAGGTTGTAAGCCAGAAACGTAAGTAAATATACAGCACCTCGATTTCAAGGTATACTACATTGTAGCGACCCGAGACTTCCCTAAGGACGAACGAAGACACAATACTCGGACAGAGTATGTATTCAGCGCAGAGAAGGTGTCTGGGCTATTGGCATGGCCCAAAAGGCCAGCCCACCCAGTGAGGTACAAGGGGGCTAATTCAAAGTCCAAAAGTCGCGCCTTACCAGAGCCGAGGGACAAACCACCATCGTATTACATAGCCTCCCTCCTCTTTTGAGCGTCGTCCCCGGTGCTCCCACAGGTCAACCTCCCGCGTCAGCCATTACAACGTAGTCGGTGCAGTAAAGAAACATCCACGAGCCGACCGTGCCAGTCACCAAATTAGCGCGCAACTTGACCTCAACGTCACTGATCCCTCTTGGCGACTTGGCTGGATCTGGGGTTTCGTCCGGCTTAGGGATTTGATTCAGGAC